CTTTTAGAAAAATACATAGTGTGAAGTGTGTGGAGACACTCCATACTACGGGCTCTCTGGCTACAGAATCGCGCTGATCCTTTTGCTGCAATCCTTTAAATACAAAACCAAGATAAAAACATCCCCCAAGTGGAGGCATGTACCAACAATTGGAATTTAAATTTAACCCAGGTCCCAGACCTGGGTGGTCTACACCTTAATGGGAACAGAAGAGAATTTGCATGGAATGACCCTCTACAGTAATCAAAGTATCTCTTAACTCTTAGGATCTGTTTTATCTTTTAGTCTACTTTTGTAAGATTAAGACCATTGTACCACTCGCCCTGAAACTCTTCAAAAGAAACCACACATGACTGTAAATCTTATTTGCATTCATATAGAACATTATACTATTGACCATTCTGAGTGAGTCCAGTGGAGGGAGGAGATGAAAAGGCACTGATGCATATGTGAGAGAGGCGTTTCCTGCAGCACCCCTCTGTGGGGTGTCTTGAAGATGCCAGTGTATTGTCTGTTTCTCAGGAGATCAAAGTATCGAAACTGATGCATATGTGAGAGACGTTTTCCCGCAAACAGATGTCTGTATGTTAATGCACTGTGTGTGTATTGTCTGTCTCAGAAGTATCTGAATTTATTTTATCCTTACAATGACAACACTTCTTTTGCAACTAAATTTCAATATCGTGATAATACCGCATACCGTGATAAAAGCATTTGCAATTAATCGCAACATGAAAATTTGATACCGGCATATCCTTGCTTGCAGGTCAGTGTAATTAACAGGTATGTTTGGATAGACGCTGAAATATATCAATGTTTTGATGCCATGCAAAGATATAACCCTTTTACACACATACAAATATAGAGACAAAAATGAACTGAAACTTTTGTGAAGGAGTTCAGTCAGTCATCAGTAAACGATGATAGAGAAAGATAATTTTTTATTTATAAATGTAAAGTTACTGCGCCATTTTCATGGATTAATTATTACCAAAGCTCCTCAAGATGTATGAAATATGTGTGAATGCTTAAATTTAAGTTAAGTTTAATTCATTAAAGGAGTCATATGATGCGGCTAAAAAGAACAGTATGTTGTGTATTTGGTGAAATGAAATGTGTTTATGCGGTTTAAGGTTCAAAAACACATTATTTTCCACATACTGTACATTATTGTTTCTCCTCTATGCCCCGCCTTTCTGAAACGCTCGATTTCTACAAAGCTCATCGGTCTGAAAAGCGAGGTGTGCTGTGATTGGCCAGCTATCCAGTGCGTTGTGATTGGCTGAATACCTCAAGCGTGTGACGGAAATGTTACGCCCCTCACCATACTGTGATGATGCCCTGTCCGGCCGGAGCGACGAGACAGACACATTAAAACCCATTATAAACGAGGCATTCGTTGCATCCAGTGGGGACATAATTATGGATTATAATGACTTATACTGTCTTTTTACGTGTTGCATTGCATCGCACCGTGTAAACATAAAACCATGTCTGCATTTGTGATCGCACACAAAAACATATTCATTACCGTGATATACCGCATTACCGAATACCGGCACAAGTCTACCTTCACGACATGGCGGCGGCAGCAACAATACTACAGCGAGAATAAAAGTTACGCCTTCTTTCTTTGCGTGAACATTTGGGCGGCGTTATGCAAATCTTCCCACATCGTGATATAGATATGTGGGGGCGTGTTAGAACGAGCCGTTTTAGTTAGGCGTGGCTGACTCTTAACTTTTATAAAGAATATCTCTTTGGATTTGAGACTTTAGTCTTTGCAACTTTACAGATCTTCTTTATGCACCAAGAGCTTGTAACACTCCAAAGAGAAAGGAACAACTGAAATCGCATCATATGACCCCTTTAAATATTATACATTTACCTCAGCTTATGTCATTTATTGTAAAATAAATATATATGAAATATTTATTTCTTATATATATACAGTATATATATGGTTAATGTCTCCGTATGTGCTTTCTCCTCGTCTGAAACCCAGGTTTCGCTGCATCGTTTACCCGTTCAAGCCCAAACTCACGCTCTTTGTCGCAAAGGTGTCAATAGGGGCGATATGGGTGCTCGCTCTCACCATAATGTTTCCCTCTGTGTTAATGTTGACCGTCGAGCAAGAAAAAGGGCATGTCATGGTTCACAGTGACAACAGCACATACCCGCTGTACTCCTGCTACGAGACCTGGCCCGACCCGGAGATGAGGAAAGTGTACACCACCGTCCTGTTCCTACACGTGTACGTCATTCCCCTGGCGCTCATCATGCTCATGTACGGCCGGATCGGCGCAAAGCTGTACGCCACAGCCATCCTAGCCAGTGCTGAGCAACCCGATGTTCGCACGTCTCAAAGAAAGATCCGAGTGATAAAGATGCTGATTGTGGTGGCTCTGCTTTTCATGCTGTCCTGGCTGCCGCTGTGGACGCTCATGCTGCTGACCGATTACGCCCGTCCAGACGAGGACAATCTGGAGCTCCTCACTAGCTATATATTCCCTCTCTCTCATTGGCTGGCCTTCTCCAATTCCAGCGTAAACCCCATTATCTACGGCTACTTCAACGAGAACTTCAAGAGAGGCTTTCAGGCCGTGTGTCAGCATCAGGCTTGTTGCTGGGGCCGAAAGAAGACGAGATTCAGCATCAAACGGCCCAGAGCTGGGAGCCCTTTGAATACGGCCGTTAGCAGCCACCCGCTCAGCCTGGGCTCGAGAACGAACCGGATCTTCACCGAGAGTGACCTGACGGGATGCGTTTGCCTGGAGCTGGAGCACCGGAGAGTGTCGATGGACACCAAGGGCTCTTCGGCCGAAGGGGGAAACAGCGGCATGTCTATAAAAAGGGAAATTCACTTCGAAGAGATTGACAAGGTGTCTTCTGCAGGAGGGAAAATATACAATGCCTGGGAGCATTGAAACCACAGTAGACTGATGTATCAGCCATCCTGATTAATCAGCTGACATTTATTGGTGCTGACATGCTTCTGTTTTCAGTTCTTAGCTACATTTATTTCTAGGGATGCACGATATTGGATTTTTGCCGATATCCGATATGCCGATATTTTTCAACTCATTTTGGCCGATTGCCGATACCGATATATTTATTTTGTTTGGAAACAACACCAAGTCTCACCTGTGCAGAAATTATAAGCAAATTATTTTTACTTTTGGTTAGCTTTTAAAAAGAACTTATTTGTTAGAATTAAAGAAACAATAATGAAGTTATTTTATAATGACAGTACATTGAAGATTTGAAAATAACTATAAATAAACTATATTGAATCGCTGCATTTTTTCTTTACCGTAACATTTTATTTTAAGATTTAAAATTTTTTTAATGGTCTAAAGCAAAAGAGTTGTACAAATTCTGAAAATCTTTTAGAGCTCATAATTTGTTTAAAAAATATAACATATTACACATTAATGACTAAATCAGTATATATAAAATAATTTAATTAAATGTGTCATGTTTGTGATTTTTTGTTATTACTGTGTACTCTATCATACACTAAACACGTCATTCTGTACCTGCTTTATCAGTTTAAATGCAGCGATCCAAAACCGTGAATCTATTCATCATTCAGGCAAAACTGTGCTTCAAGAATGAGCCACAATGCTGAGAAAACTCAGATTTTGCTGTAAAGCAGCCCTAAAAGACAATAGTGACGCTTCGATTGATAAACCCAAATCAGTTGTTTATCTTAGGAAAAACATTATTTGTGCTATTGTTAAAAAGTTTGAAATAATTTTATTGTAATTTGTTTATAATAATTAAATATGTTTATTTTTATTTAAAATGTATTTTAGTTTTGAAAAATGTTTTTGAAAGTCTCTTCTGTTCACCAAGGCTGCATTTATTTAATCAAAAATACAGTAAAAATAGTGAAATCGTGAAATATTATTACAATGTAAAATATGGTTTCTATGTGAGTATCTGTTAAACTGTAATGTATTTCTGTGATGCGCAGCTGTATTTTCAGCATCATTACTGCAGTCTTCAGTGTCACATGATCTTCAGAAATCAGTATAATATGCTGATCTGCTGCTCGAGAAACATTTCTGATTATTATCAATGTTGAACACAGTCGTGCTGCACAATATTTTTGTGGAAACTGTGATGCATTTTATTTTTCAGGATTCACAGATGAACAGAAAGTTCAAAAGAACAGCATTTATTGGAAATAGAAATCAATTGTAACATTATAAATGTCTTTACTGTCACTTTTGATCCCTTGAATGCATCCTTGCTGAGTAAAATTATTAGATTACACCGTAATGCCATATCTGACGATCTTCAGTGAAATCACCTGACCTAATTCATCATAGCCTGCTGTGAGGCTTTTAATTTGACATTCGCAATCTTGTTGCTTGCATATCGTGATTTGTAAATATTGCACACATTCAGTGTTTGTATACAGATGTTTTCTACAGATAAATTAAGTAACCTCATTGTTCAGCGGTTGTTTGAGAAGCAGTATTTTGGTGCAATACAGCAGACAAAACGAACAAGAATAAAGCTCTCAGATTTAGGTGGTTTTATGAACTAATCATAAAATGTTAATTAGAGAAGAGTTAAATGCACGAGATGAACGTGATCGCAGTGTTGTCTGTAAATTGGTATTCCTTAATAACTAAATGATTGTCTTTGCATCAGATTCTAAGGAAACATATGTGAAGCGTTTTATCATTTAGCCTTACGCAGGAAATGTGTGTGAGCTGACATTTAACGAGTGAAATGAATTGCTCTCCCTCTTTATAGAAATACAATAGAGCTATTGACAAACGGAAGCATTTCTGAGAAAATGACAGGAAAACTACACGCACCTGCAGCAAATTACAGCACTGTGAGCCTCTCTCATGGCAGAAAGTCATAATTTCCCTTGAGAGATGAAGTTCTGTTCCTGACCTGCAAGAATATGCTGGAAAATGAAGGATTACTCTGTTGATGTGCCTGGAGTATTGAAGATGAAAATCGAATGTGCTCAGAGCCACTTGAACCTCCGATGTGTTTTTAGTATTTAGCTGAAACTACACCGTATGCTGCTCTAACATTTACATGTTGCATGTTATGAAAGTAACATTTACTTTCTTAATTCATGCCCCTGGTCTTACTCATAATAGGCTTGCCGCGATAGACGGTGCTGACGGTGATACCGGTGTTAAGCTGTGAGGTGAGACAGACAAGACGAGTGAGGCGAGACAGACAAGAAGGATTACAAGAAGAGTGAGGTGAGACAGACAAGACGAGTGAGGCGAGACAGACAAGAAGGATTACAAGAAGAGTGAGGTGAGACAGACAAGACGAGTGAGGCGAGACAGACAAGAAGGATTACAAGAAGAGTGAGGTGAGACAGACAAGACGAGTGAGGCGAGACAGACAAGAAGAGTGAGGCGAGACAGACAAGAAGGATTACAAGAAGAGTGAGGTGAGACAGACGTGACAGATGGCACATGAAGTCAGATTTATCATGAAACACAATGTAGCATTAATCTGAGTGAAACTGACGTTTTGATAAGGTTTATTAGCCTGTTTTGAAGTTTTCTTGTATAGTGTCTTTCAGTGCTTGCAGTGGTGTGATATTCTGCAGGTCGCTGACGTGAACCACATCACGCTTTTATTTTTAGATGTTGTTTGTCTTGCTGTTGTGCTACCTACCTACTAGACTGACAATTTATATGAGAGAACTTTAACTGAGGAATAATCCTGATCCAAGTTCGTGCTTTGGTCTTAAATTTAAAATTTGCTTAAAATGAGTTTGTTTCTTCATCAGATTTGTAGAAATGTAGCACTGCATCAGTGTCTCAGCAATGCATGCTCTGCAGTGAATGGGTGCCGTCAGAATGAGAGTCCAAACAGCTGATAAAAACATCACAATAATCCACAGCACTCCAGTCCATCAGTTAACATCTGGAGAAGACAAAAGCTGAAAGGACTCTCCTTCTGTTTGGACTCTCATTCTGACGGCACCCATTCACTGCAGAGCATGCATTGCTGAGACACTGATGCAGTGCTACATTTCTCCAAACCTGACGAAGACACAAACTCATCCACATCTACGTTACTTGGATAGTTTGAGGATGAGATTATTTTCAGCAAATTTTCATTTTTGGGTGTACTGTTGCTTTAATTTGAATGAGTATTGATATTTTTGCGTGTCATTTTATTGTTTTCTCTACTGTCTTTAAGTACTATTTCAGCATCTGTAGTGCCGTATCTCTATATAGATCCTTTTTTTTTTTCAACTGTTGGGCTAGATAATAATAGTTCATGAAAAGCACAAAAATTAGACTGATGCAAATGTATAAACTCTTCAACTCTGAATTGTTTCATGATTGTAGAGAAAGAGGTAGATTCTTCACACTCAGTGTGATTTAAATGTCGCTTTTACTGAAATGAAAAATCGTCATTGTAAGATTAAATAAATAATTGAAAATATGTAACATTGCAGAAACATGTTTGGCTATTAAACAATGATTTAGTGTTTTAGAGAGTTAGTATAGTGTCTGTGTTTGTATTTGATTTTGTATCGTAAAATCATATTTAGTAGATGTGTGTATGAGTGAATGTTATATAGGGGTTAAACGTCTTCTGCCATCAGCACACAATAGCTCATTGTCCCTCATGTAAGTGACTCATTTCCCTGCAGGTGAGGTGAATAATAGTCTGCCGCCGTTTACTTCCAACCTTTTCGCTCTGTGTCTCTGCGGCCCACGGCATGTGGATTATTAGAATAAACCCACGGGGTCACAACCACGCAAAACAGCCGAGCCTTTAAGATTTAAAACACTTATTGTTGAATGTTGTATATATTGTGTCTTGAGTGTGAACACTAGAGATCACAGTCCTGTCCTTTTTTTCATGGTTTTGTACTTTTTCAGTTTTCCAGTAATTAGAATAACTTATGAAATTACTATTACAAATAAATATTTTAAAGAATAGCTATTATTTTGAATTATTATTATTTTAAGAAACTTGATATTATTTTATGTTTTTATTAGTATTACTATAATTTAACCATTAGTTAAATAAAAATAAAAATGCATTTATTGTTATTATTTTACTAAATATGATATTACTATGATTATTATTACTTTTTAAATATGATATTTAACATTCTTTAAAATATTATTATTATTACTACTACTACATTATTAAATATGATATTTATTATTATTATTTGAATCATTTAACTATTCTTTAAATTACTTTTTAAATAATAATTTTAATATAATATTTTGTTTTAATTATTCGAATTATTTAACAATTCTTTAAATAAAAAATAAATGATAATTATTTAAAATTATTATTTTAATAAATATGATATTTTTATTACTATTTATTATTAGATCTTAAATAATAATTATTATACTAAATCATTATAATTAGTGCTATTATTATACATAAATATTATTAATATTATTATTAGAATTCTTAAATTTAAAATCTTTTTTTATTTTAGAATTTTTTTATTAGAATTATTATTATTTGATATTATTTAACAGGTCTTTAAATTTCAAACATTTATTGTTTTCCTCTTGTTTTTTCCCCTATGCACACATAACAGATCCATCATCTGCTGCATCGCCTCAACAGTTTTTGGTCAAGGAACGCGGATGCAGATAGTCGGAAGAAAACTCCAAAAAAGTGCTGCTTCATGAACTGAACATTCGGTATCTTAGCGTCTCTAACAGCATTTGATTTAGGCCTCGTGTATGTTTTAGTGATTAATCGCATCCAAAAGAGAAGTTTTTGTTTACATAATATATGTATGTGTACTGTGTATGTGACCCTGGAGCACAAAACATAGCATACAAAAAAATTGTAGCACTAGCCAACGATGTATTATTGTATGGGTCAAAATTACAGATTTTTCTTTTATGCCAAAAATCATTAGGATATTAAGATCATGTTCCATGAAGATATTTAGTAAATCTCCTACTGTAAATATATCAAAACTTAATGTTTGATTAGTAATATGCATAGCTAAGAACTTCATTTGAACAACTTTAAAGATGATTTTCTCAATATTTAGATTTTTTTGCACCCTCAGATTCCAGATTTTCATACCATTGTATCTCGGCTAAATATTATCATATCATAACAAACCATACATCAATGGAAATATTATTTATTCATGATGATATATAAATCTCAATTTAAAAAAATCGACCCTTATGACTGGTTTTGTGGTCACATATATTTATTATGCATATATAAATACACACATGCATGTATATATTTCAGAAAAAACATGTTATGTTTATATATTAAATATATTTATACATAAAATAAATTATATGAATATAAATATAGACATGTCAATATTTTCAAATATATATACTTTATGTGTGTGTATTTATATATATACATAAGAAATATACACAGCACACACACATATTATGCAAACAAAAACTTTTATTTTGTATGCGATGAATCGCTTGTATATTTATTAGTTGTAAATTTGTCTGTTTTCTGTTGTGATGTACAACACACTGCATTTAGGTGTTTAATTATTGTCACTTATTATGAGTGAAGTTGAAACTAAACCTGCTGAAATAACAGTGTTATGCTGCTTAGTTTGATCGTTGCAGTCATGTTTTTTTATAATAATAAAATAAAGGCTCCAATGGGGTGTTTTGAAGAACCATTTTTGGTTCCCCAAAGAACCTTTTAGTGTAACGCTTCAAACAACTACCTTTTTCTTAGTTTGAAGAACATTTAAAAATTTAAAGAGCATTTTTTCTGCTACATTCTTTAAAATAAAGGTTCTTCATTAGCATTGATGATTCCATGAAGAATCTTTAACATCTGTGGAGCCAATGAAGTTTCTTTAGATTATTAAAATATTCTTCACTCTAAACATCTAAATATTTTTCACAATGTACAAAAAAATAAAAAATAAACATTTGTCAGCTTTAGTGGCGTAGATGGTAAAGCGTGCACCGTAGTCTTTTTGATCGAGTGGAGCGCATTGCGCGCCCGAGCTAGGACCCCGCCCGGCTACAGGCCGCTGTGGGCGGGTGTGCCTAGGGGGCACGGTGAGTGGAAGGTACGGTGAATGAGGGCGACACACCCACCGCGTCCGGTACAAGAGTGCATGAGACGGGCCCGCCCAGGGCCCAACCCTTCCTGGGGAGACTCAGACGGCCGGTCTATCATAAGGGTCCACCACCGGCGGTCGTATAGGGGTGCGGGGCCTGCAGGGTACCTGTCGGGGGCGGCCCGGCGGGGTCGCCGAAGGGACGTCTCGTGTAATGATCCTTCCTTTCGTGCCCTCATTTGTTACGACTTTTTTTTCCCCATGGGTGGAGGCCGCGTCGGAGCCCCTGACCTCCGCCCCGTCTCAGAGAGACCTCTCGCCTTTGCCGGGCTTACCCGATAATGATCCTTCCGCAGGTTCACCTACGGAAACCTTGTTAGGACTTTTACTTCCTCCCGAAAGACAAGTTTGATTGTCTTCTCGGCGCTCCGCCAGGGCCCGCGAGGAGCCCCAGCAGGGCCGATCCGAGGACACACGCTGATCTGCCCACTGTGGTGCGCGTGCAGCCCCGGACATCTAAGGGCATCACAGACCTGTTTTATTGCTCCATCTCGCGTGGCTGAATGCCACTTGTCCCTCTAAGAAGTTGAACGCCGACCGCACAGGGCTGCGTAACTATTTACCAAGCCGGAGTCTCGTTCGTTATCGGAATGAACCAGACAAATCGCTCCACCAACTAAGAACGGCCATGCACCACCACCCACAGAATCGAGAAAGAGCTATCAATCTGTCAATCCTTTCCGTGTCCGGGCCGGGTGAGGTATCCCTTGTTGAGTCAAATTAAGCCAAGGGCTCCACTCCTGGTGGTGCCCTTCCGTCAATTCCTTTAAGTTTCAGCTTTGCAACCATACTCCCCCTGGAACCCAAAGACTTGTGGTTTCCCGCACACTGCCCGGCGGGTCATGGGAATAACGCCGCCGGATCGCGGGTCGGAACTACGATGGTATCTGATCGTCTTCGAACCTCTGACTTTCGTTCTTGATTAATGAAAACATTCTTGGCAAATGCTTTCGCTTTCTTCCGTCTTGCGCCGGTGAAAAGAATTTCACCTCTAGCGGCGCAATACGAATGCCCCCGGCCGTCCCTCTTAATCATGGCCCCGGTTTCCAGAAACCCACAAAATATAACCGGAGTCCTATTCCATTATTCCTAGCTGCAGTATTCAGCGGCGACGGGTGGCCTGCTTTGAACACTCTAATTTTTTCAAAGTAAACGCTCCGGGCCCAGAGGTGACTGGACACCCAGCTATGGGCATCCGGGGGGCGCCGGGAGGCAGGGTCTGGGACAGACGGTGACTTTAAGAAGTGAACTGATTACTGAAAAACATTTTGATAATCTAAATAAGCTTTTTCCACTATAAAGAACCTGGTTAAAGGTTTTCATGGAACCATCAGTGCCAATAAAAAACCTTTATTTTTAAGAGAGGTTTCTTTGACCAGACGACTTTTTACTCTGCACTCTTAAAAATCCCTCTGCACTCTTCTGCAGAAAAAGTTTTTTCTTTCACAGCAATGTTGTAAGAACCCTTTTCAGTTCCTCAAAGAACCTTTCAGGGATCAGTTCCTTCCAGAACCATTTTTATTTTAGTTTGGAGAACATTTTAATAACCTGAAGAACCTTTTGTGGAGGTTTCATCCATGTTTTCCTGCACAATCGGGCTGTTCTAAAAATGTAGTTGCAGGAATAATTACAGAGCCACAGGCTGCATTTTTTGGGCTACTTATATAATGTATCTGCAGACAAAGAAAAATTAACATACATTATGTCAGGGGTCTGGGTCTGGTGTTCTCCCTCTCACCACCAGAGGTCGCCACTTCCCATCCTCCCGGACTCCGTTACCTTGACGCCACACACCTGTACACACACACACACAGCTGTTGCCCATCCTGAGGGCTATTTATACGCCTTCCCCACGCCTCTCTGGGCGGATTATTAAGTGTTGTTATGGGATTGATGCAACCTCTACGTGGCCGTATTGTGTCAGAGTCCGTTTTCTGTTTCAAGCCTGTGTGTCAGAGTCTTAGCTCTGTTTGTTTTCTGTTTTGGTTTTGACTTTGTTTTTCCACTGCAGTCAAATAAACCTGCATTTGGACCCAGACCCCTGTTTACACGGTGTGTTCCTTTACCGCGCCGTGACAGAATAATCCGCCAAGCATGGGTCCAGCAGGAAAGTTCCTCAGTGTCTGCCAGGGAGACCGGCGCATTGAGGATTACGCCAGGGACTTCGTGGGAGTGGCTCGCCAGTCGGCGGCGGAAAGGACCTGCTCAATGGTCTGTTTCTGGGGTGGCCTAACCGAGCCTTTCAAATCCCTTATGCCATTCTGGCACCCCGAGGAGGCGCTGGAGGACTACGTCAACCTGGCTCTGCAGTTGAGCGGCTCAGCCGTCAGGATGGAGTTGGCTGCAGAGCCTGCTCAAAGTTCTCCCGAGGCGGCCATCCCAGGGTTGTCAGAGGCCTCGTCTGCGGCACCCAGTACCTCACGCCCGTTCCTGGAGCATCGCGGGCTGGTAAGCAGCGTGCGGGAACCTCCGCTGATGTCAGTACGAGCGGCGTGGTCTACTCTCAGATTCCCCGAGGCAGCGGTGTCCACTCACAAAGCTCCGGAAGCGGCGGTGTCCGCTCTCAGTTCCCCCGAGACGGTGGTGTCCGCTCTCAGTTCCCCCGAGACGGTGGTGTCCGCTCTCAGTTCCCCCGAGACGGTGGTGTCCGCTCTCAGTTCCCCCGAGACGGTGGTGTCCGCTCTCAGTTCCCCCGAGACGGTGGTGTCCGCTCTCAGTTCCCCCGAGACGGTGGTGTCCGCTCTCAGTTCCCCCGAGGCGGCGGTGCCTGCTCGCCGTTTCCCAGAGGCAGCGGTGTCCTCTCACAAAGCTCCGGAAGCGGCGGTGTCCGCTCTCAGTTCCCCCGAGACGGTGGTGTCCGCTCTCAGTTCCCCCGAGGTGGCGGTGCCTGCTCGCCGTTTCCCAGAGGCAGCGGTGTCCTCTCACAAAGCTCCGGAAGCGGCGGTGTCCGCTCTCAGTTCCCCCGAGGCGGCGGTGCCTGCTCGCCGTTTCCCAGAGGCAGCGGTGTCCTCTCACAAAGCTCCGGAAGCGGCGGTGTCCGCTCTCAGTTCCCCCGAGGCGGCGGTCCCCGCTCACGATCCTCCCTAGGCGGCAGTGCTCGCTCACGATGTTCCCGAAGCGGCGGTGCCCGCTCACGAGCCTTCCGAGGCGGCAGTGGCCGCTCTCAGTTCCCCCGAGGCGGCGGGGTCCGCTCTCAGTTCCCCCGAGGCGGCGGGGTCCGCTCTCAGTTCCCCCGAGGCGGCGGGGTCCGCTCTCAGTTCCCCCGAGGCGGCGGGGTCCGCTCTCAGTTCCCCCGAGGCGGCGGGGTCCGCTCTCAGTTCCCCCGAGGCGGCGGGGTCCGCTCTCAGTTCCCCCGAGGCGGCGGTGTCCGCTCTCAGTTCCCCCGAGGCAGCGGTGTCCGCTCACAAAGCTCCGGAAGCGGTGGTGTCCGCTCTCAGTTCCCCCGAGGCAGCGGTGTCCGCTCACAATGTTCCCGAAGCAGCAGTGCTCGCTCACGAGGCTCCAGAGGCGGCAGTGTCCTCTCTCAGTTCCCCCGAGGCGGCGGTGCCCGCTCGCAATGTTCCCGAAGCAGCAGTGCTCGCTCACGAGGCTCCAGAGGCGGCAGTGTCCTCTCTCAGTTCCCCCGAGGTGGCGGTGCCCACTCGCAGTTTCCCTGAGGCAGCGGTGTCTGCTCACAAGGCCCCGGAAGTGGCGGGGGCCGCTCTCAGTTCCCCCAAGGTGGCGGTGTCCGCTCTCAGTTCCCCCGAGGCGGCGGTGCCCGCTCGCAGTTTCCCCGAGGCGGCGGTGCCCGCTCGCAGTTTCCCCGAGGCGGCGGTGCCCGCTCGCAGTTTCCCCGAGGCGGCGGTGCCCGCTCGCAGTTTCCCCGAGGCGGCGGTGCCCGCTCGCAGTTTCCCCGAGGCGGCGGTGCCCGCTCGCAGTTTCCCCGAGGCGGCGGTGCCCGCTCGCAGTTTCCCCGAGGCGGCGGTGCCCGCTCGCAGTTTCCCCGAGGCGGCGGTGCCCGCTCGCAGTTTCCCCGAGGCGGCGGTGCCCGCTCGCAGTTTCCCCGAGGCGGCGGTGCCCGCTCGCAGTTTCCCCGAGGCGGCGGTGCCCGCTCGCAGTTTCCCCGAGGCGGCGGTGCCCGCTCGCAGTTTCCCCGAGGCGGCGGTGCCCGCTCGCAGTTTCCCCGAGGCGGCGGTGCCCGCTCGCAGTTTCCCCGAGGCGGCGGTGCCCGCTCGCAGTTTCCCCGAGGCGGCGGTGCCCGCTCGCAGTTTCCCCGAGGCGGCGGTGCCCGCTCGCAGTTTCCCCGAGGCGGCGGTGCCCGCTCGCAGTTTCCCCGAGGCGGCGGTGCCCGCTCGCAGTTTCCCCGAGGCGGCGGTGCCCGCTCGCAGTTTCCCCGAGGCGGCGGTGCCCGCTCGCAGTTTCCCCGAGGCGGCGGTGCCCGCTCGCAGTTTCCCCGAGGCGGCGGTGCCCGCTCGCAGTTTCCCCGAGGCGGCGGTGCCCGCTCGCAGTTTCCCCGAGGCGGCGGTGCCCGCTCGCAGTTTCCCCGAGGCGGCGGTGCCCGCTCGCAGTTTCCCCGAGGCGGCGGTGCCCGCTCGCAGTTTCCCCGAGGCGGCGGTGCCCGCTCGCAGTTTCCCCGAGGCGGCGGTGCCCGCTCGCAGTTTCCCCGAGGCGGCGGTGCCCGCTCGCAGTTTCCCCGAGGCGGCGGTGCCCGCTCGCAGTTTCCCCGAGGCGGCGGTGCCCGCTCGCAGTTTCCCCGAGGCGGCGGTGCCCGCTCGCAGTTTCCCCGAGGCGGCGGTGCCCGCTCGCAGTTTCCCCGAGGCGGCGGTGCCCGCTCGCAGTTTCCCCGAGGCGGCGGTGCCCGCTCGCAGTTTCCCCGAGGCGGCGGTGCCCGCTCGCAGTTTCCCCGAGGCGGCGGTGCCCGCTCGCAGTTTCCCCGAGGCGGCGGTGCCCGCTCGCAGTTTCCCCGAGGCGGCGGTGCCCGCTCGCAGTTTCCCCGAGGCGGCGGTGCCCGCTCGCAGTTTCCCCGAGGCGGCGGTGCCCGCTCGCAGTTTCCCCGAGGCGGCGGTGCCCGCTCGCAGTTTCCCCGAGGCGGCGGTGCCCGCTCGCAGTTTCCCCGAGGCGGCGGTGCCCGCTCGCAGTTTCCCCGAGGCGGCGGTGCCCGCTCGCAGTTTCCCCGAGGCGGCGGTGCCCGCTCGCAGTTTCCCCGAGGCGGCGGTGCCCGCTCGCAGTTTCCCCGAGGCGGCGGTGCCCGCTCGCAGTTTCCCCGAGGCGGCGGTGCCCGCTCGCAGTTTCCCCGAGGCGGCGGTGCCCGCTCGCAGTTTCCCCGAGGCGGCGGTGCCCGCTCGCAGTTTCCCCGAGGCGGCGGTGCCCGCTCGCAGTTTCCCCGAGGCGGCGGTGCCCGCTCGCAGTTTCCCCGAGGCGGCGGTGCCCGCTCGCAGTTTCCCCGAGGCGGCGGTGCCCGCTCGCAGTTTCCCCGAGGCGGCGGTGCCCGCTCGCAGTTTCCCCGAGGCGGCGGTGCCCGCTCGCAGTTTCCCCGAGGCGGCGGTGCCCGCTCGCAGTTTCCCCGAGGCGGCGGTGTCCGCTCTCAGTTCCCCCGAGGGCCTTTTCAAGGCGGCAGCTCCACACACACCGCTAAATCAAATGATTTTAAAAAGCGCTTAGTGAGGGAGGAACCGGAGCTTTTCGTAACTCCGAATCAGTTTAACCATGCGTAGCAAAATGATTCACTTTTCGAAGTGCTCGCTTCAGAGCGCGTGTCGCGAATCTTTTGATTCAGATCGGGACTTCAAAGCGCGTATTGTGAATCATTTGATCCAAATCGGAAATTCTTAGTGGATTTGCGAATCTTTTTATTCAGATCGGCAATTTAAAGCGTGTATCGCGAATCATTTGATTCAGTTTGGAACTTCGGAGCGAGTCCTTTGATTCAGATCTGAATACTGGTTCGCGAATCATTTATCAGATCGGATCTTCAAAGCGTGCATCGTGAATCGTTTTATTTGAGAAAGGGTTGTGAATCTTTTGATTCTGATCGGGTTCTCGGAGTGCGTGCGTATCGTATGTAATAGGTTTACACGTTTATTACACCATGTATGCAATAAATTTACACATTAGGAGGACACATAGGATGAACATAGAGATGCAGTATTAATTGGTTCTTTATACATAACAGTATATGTGCCAAATGTTGACAAAAATCTCGCTGTGCCTCTGATGCCCAAACAGGTGTATACATACATACAGGTGTGTGCACAGTCAGCTCGGCGTGTTTGGAGCCGGACTCAGTGCGCATGCGCAGTTCGCCATATTGCGCAGCAGGGCGTGAGGTGGTGCGTCCAGAGCGTCGCGGCTACATTGTGTGTTTTTGTAAACCCTCCTCTTAATAATATATTGTGCCAAATCCCGTCTAACAGAGTTCTCGCTCAAAAGTCTGTCGTCGCGTTAAATCGTCGTAGACATCAGCGGAACGCGCGGTTAGCCGCTAACAAGATTCACATCAAAACCACCACAACTGGACAGATAAAGAGATTCATTCACAGGTGACATAACAGGTATGTAATTCCAATACAAATGTCCACATTTAAACGTGTTTTATTTGTCTATATCATAAGTTAAAATCTGAATCAGCCGCCGCTTGGGTGCTAGCATTAGCATGTGATGCTAGTACGCAGACTCGTTGTTTACATTGACTTCAGCTCGTCGCATTCACGAGTTCTGCAGCTCTATAAGTCCTCGCAGCTGAAGTGTGTGAAGGATTCATGTGCTGTGAGACGCTTTATAAACTCGAGAGATTTATTTAGTAGCTTATATTTGTGTTAGCTTTACTAAAACTTGTAGCCGAATATGAAAGTGATGTTCTGACGTAATATAAATCGCATTTTTATATTATATAAATAATGTGTACATTTTTAATGTATTATAATTGTAAATTTAGTCTTTATAAAATGTTATTTTTTTATGTATTTTATTTACATTTTAATATATAATGTGTTTTTATATTATATATACATTATTTTGTTTTTTTACACACTCTCACACACACTCTCACACACACACACACACTCTCACA